AAAAAAAAAAAAAAAAAGAAAAAGAAAAATAAGAAACGATTTGTGGAGGTCAAATGATCACCTGAATACGATTACGATGAGGAAACTCCGACACCGGCCTGCGCTCGTTCAATACCGAGATTTCCCTTTCCCGTTCAGCCTGCGCCCTCAGGACAAGATCGAGAAGGGTCTGCCTGCCGCACAATCTCCGAATGGGCCTGAAGCCCACTTCAACCCGGCAATCTGCCGAAAGCCCCTCACGAACGTCCTCAATATTTCGAAACCGGCCCTTGGAACCACTACTCATCCATTCGCGGAAAATATGTCTCACCCTCTCACGCTCGGTTTCACCCAAATCGTCTGACAACACACTGCTACCGTCTTCAGAACCATTCTCGCTGCTCGAGGAGAACTCCATATCCGAGCCATTTCTCTGCCTTTGACTGGGCCCACATGATCGGGCGACTATATGCTCGTTCTCAAGCTCACGCCACATTTGTAGGAGCGCAGATGCACGGGTGGCAGGCCGCGAGTCACTGAAGAACGACGGGCCGAAAGCCGACGACACGTTGTGCAAACCGGCAACGGCCATCCTTTAAACAAAAAACTAAAAATACAAAATGTTTACAGTCAGATTCAAACATTTTATTATATTCTCATTGTTAGTAACCTAGAAAGAGGATTGCACAATCCACAGTTAGATTTTCCAGAAATGATTACAAGATTGTAGAATAAGAAAAGACAGGAAGAAAAAAAAAGGAGGTGACTTGCAGATCCATATTGTCCCTGAACAAGGACAACCCACCAGAAGGCAAAAAGGGGTGGTGAAAAAAAAGCAAATATACCCCACAAATTCAAATTACTAACTAAATAACAGTCTAATTAAAAAAAAAAAAAGGAAAAATAAATGAAAAAAATCAGACAAAAAATGGGTTTGAGAGGCAAAAAAAATCGAATCAAATTAACTCATTCAACACAAAATCTTGTGTTCCACAAAAAAACCCATATCAAAATCAGATCAAGAAACCACAAACAAGAAACCAATAATCACAAATCTCGTGCAAAGTTACAATCTTTACATAATAAGGAACAGATATCGACAAGAACAAACAAGTACTGGATTACTAATCAAGAAAAGCAAACAGGCAAAACATCGTAGTACTTCGAAGACAATACTGATAAAACAAACGAGAAAACAAACAAAGGCAGTATACCTTTCTGCGGGTACTGTTTGGCTCTGTTCTTCAAGAAAATGCGAAAATGTGAACAATGGCCAATGGGCCGACAAAAAATCCGTTGCAGAGGAGAAGTGTAGAGAGAGAGGGATAAAGAGGATGTGGGATTTAAGATAGTAATATATTAATAATAATAAATTGTAGCTGCAAAAAATTAGGAAGGCATAGGGGACAGTTGCGCGGCGCTAATTAATATATTGCACATTTTTTATTTTTTATTTTTTTACTCTGAAAATTCATCGGTTATTCCAACGTCTATAACCTATGGCATATTTTTACTAAGAAAATTCTTCGTAATTCCAACGTCTATGTTTGGAATTAATTATTTATTTAAAAAAAAAATAAGTGGACAAAAAAAAAAAAAAAAATTATGTGGAAAAAAATCAAACACACGTATTTTGGGAATACGGTTTTCATATAAAACCGTATTACGGGAATAAGTTTCTCCTTTATAAACGTATTCGGGGAATACGTTTTACTAAAAAAACGTAATTAAGATAATTAATCTTAATTAACATAAACAAAAACGTATGACAAGAATACGTTTTTAATGTATAAACGTATATCCGGAATACGTTTTAAGTAAAACGTATGTTAGGAATACGTTTTTTTGCTAAAATTTAATGTTTAAACGTATACGCTAAATACGTTTTTCTTAAAACGTATGTTGCGAATACGTTTTTATGCTAAAATTTATTTTAGAATTATGAAAAATATTTTCTTGTTAATATTAATTTTCTGAAAATCTTAAACGTATTCCATGAATACGTTTTTAGGTAAATGTTGACACAAAAACGTATAAGTAGAATACGTTTTTCATTGAAAAAATTAATAATAATAATATAAACCTATTCAATCAACCAACCTGTCCAATATACACATGTTCAACCAACTCATATATATCAATTCAGCAAAAAAATAATTCAACATACATTATATAAAAAACAATCAACCACAATGCAATATTCAAAAAACACAATATAAAACTTA